GCGGTGATGGAGTTAAAAGCCTTGGCATGGGGTCGAGAAACGATGTTAATCAGCAGCCAAGCACTGAAAAACTTCTTGAACCTAAAGCAATGGTCAATGCGAGATTGGATCCAGAAGTTAAACTCGGTGATATGTCCTCGAAGAGCGATAAGCCAGGCTTGGATCAGATGTTGGGATCTAGAAGAAACGATGTTGAGGGAGGTAGTAACAAGATTTTAGATATAAGCGCCAGCTCTGGACTCGATGATGATATTCCAGGAAGCAGAACAAACCATCCTGACAGAACTGATAATGATAAAGATGCAATACTAGATGAGCCTCACAGGAAGAACTCTGACATGAATTGCAACCTTCGTCAGGATAGCAATGATAGTCATGGGAAAGACTTGAGTGATGATGTGAGTAGGAATAGAAGTAGAACAGATGAAACGAAAGCTGGAAAAGAGAAGATAGATTCTCAGAATGGCTCAAAAGATAGAATGAAGAAGAATGATGTAAAGTCAACAGAGAAAGTTAAAGGCTCTGAATCAAATAAAAAATCATCTGATCTCCAAGTAAAGAAGGACTCAAGGGATGCAGAGAGGCCTCACAGAACAAATTCTAAGGAAGACAGGGGTAAACAGAGGGACAAGGAAAAAGAAGAAGAGCGGTCAAGACACAGGCACGCTGAAGACCCAAGCAAGGAGAAAAGAAGACGTTCTCCAACCAGTAACGGATCCTCTGATGATTCAGCAAGGTGGCATAGGATGATGTTCTACATTAAGTTTGTCTGTCCGCTTTTGTCTAATGATTCTTTTCTCATTACTCGCATGATTCCTTTTGCCTTTCTTCAGGAAGTCCCGTTCGAGAAGAAGGAATGTATCACCATCTCCAGTGAGGTCCAGAAGAAAACGCTCGTCTCCATCAAGTGATGAATCCTCAGATGATTCAAGAAGGTGGCAATAGAGTGTTCTACTTTGAGTTTTATCTTTTGCGCTTCATTTGTCAAATGCTAACGATCTTTTTGTCTTTATTCAGGAAGTCTTCTTCAAGAAGAAGGAATAGGTCACCATCTCCCGGAAGGTCCAAAAGGAGGTAACTTTTTCTATACTGTTAGCATTCTGAGATCTCTGGTGTTTATGCATGTTTGTTAGTTCTATATTAGCACTAGACTCTGTCTAGTAAAAGAACTTTTGAAAGCAAAAGTTTGACAAAAGACAAATGGGTAAGCTAAGCGGAACAAGCTAAGTAATGAAACTCACCACAGAAAGTATCATGTATGTTTGATTGTATAGACATGTTTCTTCGCGGTCACCACATAGCAAGCATTCTCAACGCAAGCACACTGTACACTCTTCTCATGATAAGTCCAGGTACGAATTCTCAATTTGAGATGTTTGCGACTTTACTCTGTCTTAACAGGTGGACACAAAGCTGGGATGTTTTTTTTCTTCTTTTTAAAAAAAAACTGTGTCAGGTCCTGCTTATTCAGTGGAACTCAAACCTGATTTGATATACAGGTCGAAGCGGTCAAGATCCAGATCCCCTCGCAGGCGTCATCGCGGTTAATTTTACACTCCAGCAATGCTGAGCAGAGATTTGGTCCCTTTTGGGTGTGGCTAGTTGATCAACGGGTCAGGTATACTGACCGGACATCAATACAAGGCCACTGGTTTGAGCGCCTTTGTAAATTGCACTTTCCTTAGTTCTTCAAGAAGAAATGTCCAAAGATTTTTGACTGCTTTGTTCTTAATTGACTTGTTTGGACTAAAATGTTTTGTTGGTTGAAAAGCTTTTCCTATGTAATTTTGTCACACAATCTTGTGACCAATTGTCCAATTCTCTGTTTTTATTATTTATTATACTCCCACGGTTTTTTTAGATTCCACTTTCTTCTTGTCAAAATCCAGAGTCACATTCTT